CAAAATATAACTGAAACTAAAAACATTATTCTGTGGTTCTGTTCATTTAGACACCCGTTTAATCTGATAAATAAGTGCAATCCTGCATTTGACGCATGCATATGACAGAAACATGCGTGAAAGCAAAAAAGGCGACTCGGATTTAGGGGGGAAACCACGAATGGTTGATTCGTACTACTGCTATCGGATTGTGCTACCCCATTTGGTAATATCCGAATTGCAAAAATAAACCCCTGTTCTCGTAAGAATTCGAAATTTTATTTGCTTATAACGAGATTTTATGGTTCTTGTCCTAAAGTCACTTCGCAGAATTCGGACTTCACATGAATTGTGCGATTCTATTTATATTTACAGTCGCAAATCTCGGGCATCGACTAAATTGTAATTGTTTTTGATATTAAAGATTTGCAAAAAGTCATTTCGGCTATTTGAATGCTTATAGGAGAAAAAAAACAATCATTGAAACTCAACCCTGTAAATACCAATCAGATATACGCACTTTTTTATTACGATTTAAGGAATTGGGCAAAAGTGGGGACTATGAAAACCCTTTTATTTCGGGATCACCAATAAGGGAAGTTAATTGTATGAGACTTTGTCAGCAGAGATTCCTGTTAGAACGTTGCGCAGCTTGATTTGGTCCGATTCAAACGAAAAACAATTAACATCATCGCATAACTGGTTTTTTTTAAACCTATTTTATTGTTTCAAGTTCTCGGCATCACCGATAAGGAAGCGGATAATTAACATTAGATTATTCTACTACACCTTTGTTTGCATTCTTTGCGAGATTCCTTTGTAATCTAATCTAGTGTTCATAAAGCAACCGCGTCAGCCAAGCGATGCATGGCATTACATATTGATAGTCTTGATATAACTGTTTGTTACGGTGGCCCAAGCCTTGGTATGACGCAGTAATGTCATGTGAATGTTGGTTGATCCTAATTAAGGCATATATAGAGACATGATGCCACATGATGATCGTTCATTGTCTATATACCAGTTTCGTCCTAATAATAACAGGACTTTTTTAAACAATGTTCAATATATATATGTGGTGGATCCGCTTAAACCATCAGGATAACTGCCCAATCGTAATATTCTTCCCCATCCAATCCAAAACTCAAAGTTGCCAATTCGGAATTCGTCTTCTAGTAACACAGAAGTCTAGTCTGCACATAAAACCACCAGCAAGCAAGCAAAAAGGAGAATAGAATATAACTAAACGTTTGAACAACTTTACCAATTACCAAAGAGGAAAAGCAAAAAAAAAGGAAAAGAAAGAAGCAGAGTGTGTGAGAGAAAACCAAGATAAGGGAAAAGAGCATAAACAACCACAGCACTATCCGACACCATCTTCACTTTATTACACCCAACTGTTACTTTTCTCCCCACACTTTATGCTTTACCAATGGGTCAAAGAACATTATGGGATCCAGCAGCGACCATGTGTCTAATCAAAGCGCGTAAACAACACGACGTAGAATTTAGAGCAAACAAGCGAACAAAACAAGTATGGATCAAAGTTTCGTCCTATTTACGGAATAATGGACATCAGTTTGACCACCACCAGTGTCATGTAAAATGGAAGAATCTATTACGAGATTTCAGGGTATGTTTGAAAAGAAAAGTATAGGAAAGCATGTATAACGAAAAGAAGGCGTGTGCTGTGTGATTGTACGAATTGGAGCATTATTTGCTCTATTCTTTACAGTTTTATAAAACGTCTGATCATGCAAGGATCGCCACTTTCAATTCAATTTTGCTTTTGTCTTCACATCAAACGCGATTGACTCTCGGACCTCTCTTCTCTTACCCATGGAAATTTACTCTTTTTTTTTTTTTCCACAGCAAACGAAACGGGAGAATATGAATTTGCAAGACGGTTTACAGAAAGAAATGACATCTGGAACTAATCTATATAAGATGATAGACAACTTTATTGGTAGGTCGATCTGGATTAGGCGTAAAGTAGGACGGACGCGAATTAATGTTGGGGAAGGTTGAGAGTGAAGTGAGTTTTATCGGTGTGGAATATGAGAGCAACCATAGGAGGGGTGGAAGGTAGTAGCGGGAAATGGTAATAGTTAGATAATTCGATAAAATACATTGTTTTGATGTCTACTTTATTAAAAGCTTGATACTTACCCCATTTATTGTCCCACAGAACTCAAAGACGACTCGAGCGATTACCAAGAAAACGATTCAAAGAACTCATGGGAGCATACGAGCAGCTTACAATCGGACGATGGACAACAACCGCCTTTACTCAACCGCCGTCCCTCCATCACAGACAATCTTGCCATGTCATCCAATATTCGTAATTTCCAAACACCTCCTTTCATTCCTCAGTCATCACCACCAGTTGGACTCCCATCCCCAATCCAGCCAAGCACGACTGGAATAACACCGAACGGGCCGTTACCAAAAATATCATCTCTGGCTCCTGGACTCCACACTAATAATATAAACTTGTCACGTCCCCGTAAGAAACCAACAAAAAGATTACGTGGGCCGGACATGGATCAGTCATCGCTTTCTGAGGATTTGGTCATGTCCCATGCCGTCTCGATCCCTACAGCTTCCATGTCTCCGCAAAGCGCATCACCGAATCAGCGGTTATTTCAGCGAGTGTCTGTGCATACTCGGAAGAGATCTCCATTCAAAGAAAACATTGTCGTTGGACATGGAATGACATTTAAGGATTTATTAGATTACGTGTTTCCTCATAATCCTCCAGATAGGAAGCGGTTTTCTGTGAAGACTGCCTTGGAGAATGGAAGCGAGTTTATGCCCAATCAGTTAATCGAGGCTGTGTTGGGTTCAAGGGAATATATGGATCTATGGATTGATATTGAAGATGAAGTAGTCGACTATAATGAGCTTTTCTAATTTCATCAAATAGAGGGGCGGGATACGTGCTGGCTAAACGCCGAAGAAGCTCGAATACTTGTAGTTTTTTTTAATAGATGAAACTATAAAGTTGAAAGTGGTGGGGGCGATTATGCGTTTAATAAGAAACCATCTATGTAATCCCTTATTAATTACAAAGTAACGAACAATTTGATGCTGTGTTCTCTTTTCTTTTCTTTTCTTTCTTTTCTTTCTTTTCTTTTTTTCACAAAGAACGGTGCTGATATTTGTACAGATAAATCTACACGAATGGCATGTTATTGTCGGCACTAAAACTTCAGACGACGCATTTATTTCTTGTACAGAATAATACACAATAAACGGTTTGGCCGTGCCATTCTTCAACACATTTTCACGGCTACTTTACGAATATTCTGATCATGCATACAACATACCTATCGAACTCTTATGTGTTGTAGAGAGGCAGAGAGGGAAAGGGGATATCCATTCTTATGTGAATTCGTAAAGCATTTGCATTAGCTATTTTGGATTTTCTAGACGTTAATTTAGCTCTATCCCAGTTCTTTTGAGAATTGAAGGTAAAACACACAATTGCTGGTTATATTTTATTCCTACCAGAAAATAAAGCAATGTGCTGCCATTCACTCCAAAAAAATTTTTTTTAATAATATTTGGGTTCCATGGTCCATTCGATAAACAAGTTTCGTGACTATCGATATTACTACCTAGTTATATTGATATTAATAGGATTTTACAAATCCGAGTTGATATAACGCAAAATACCAAATTGACAGAGGAACAAAGGCAGCTCGTAAATTCAACGTTATCCAAAGGTCAATGGTAAAGTCCAATATTGCAGTGTCCGTCTTACAGTTATGACTGTGCCAAAATGTCCATTCGGATCAACAGATCGGGGAAAGTATATTAGTGCTCGTAAAGTGCGTTTGTTCGGCATCCAAATATTTACGCGCTGGATAAGAATAATCGTCTTGGAAAAGGTCCAAACGGCACCCTTAGAAAAATATTATCACTCTTTGATTTACTTGTATTTGGTAATTATGAAAGAATTGAACTTTACCGCAAAAACGATGGTAGGTTGTGGATCATGCTGCCGAAGTAGTAAAAAAATTATCCTTGCCAGGCGAAATAAAGCGAGGCGTTATAATGGCAGAGCTGGCTTCGACATTATAAGTGGTTTAGCAATTTATTTAACGAACTGTTAGGCCAGATCTGCCAATGTTTCAACATTTTTCTTTACCAAAATGGTCCTCGACAAACTATTTGTCAGGAAGACATTATTAAAATTTTTGATTGTGTCATAAAAAAGATGAATTGTGTTTTTCTTTACAACAGAACTAATTAAAATCCGACCACGGATGACGACCAAACAAAACATTATACCGAAGACTTATGCACCACCCATGAGCAATGTTGGAATTGACTTGACGTTATTGAACGGAAGAGCATGCCATAGCCAAACAATAAACATTTTCTCCAACCTAATTAAGATGGTGTGTGATTGCGGAAAAGAATAAAGCGATGGCAAAGTTTTATGCTACTATCTACTAAGCAACATTCACCAAACAATATCAATACCATTGATCTATGTTCAAGAAACTTGAAATGAAATTGGAGCGGACTGATGAGGGGTCATGGTTAAAATTTGACTTGGAGAATATGAAATCTCCAAAACTCCCTCGGTTTTTGCTATGATTAAGATGGTGTTGCAAATGAAACTCGACCTAATACTAATGACAATGAAATTCAGAAACCATGGAAATCGAACGGATTGCCGAAAAGCTCGGGGATCACAACAGCCAAGGATTTGCCTATTTGCAAAAAGATTAGCTGCTAAAGAAAAAGAATCTACCGTCTGAATTTCCAAAATTTTGGTTACTCCCTACAGTGTGGCCATAACGGCATTAATGGTAGTGTTAGTACTGAGGGGAAAAGTCAGACGTAAAATAAAGTGGCGTCAAAATGTTCATTTTGCCTTATTACAATAAAGAAACCATACAACAGCTCATATGAATATAATAATAATATTTTATTATTAACATTGCTAATAAAAATTATTTGTTAGTTAAATTATTTAAAGTTAAGTTATAAGATTTCGTAAGACACCATTATAATACAATTCGTTTCCAGATTAAATATCCAATCGTCCTCATAATCTCGGCAGTAAATTGAGGTTCGTACTCGGGAGTTTCCTCTCGACAGACAGCGCTTGCACGAACAATATTGTTTGGATCCAACACAAAGTGTATCAAATGTCCACTAAGAAATGGATTAAAAATGACTAAATGTCGGGAGCCGTCGTGATTCACTTCCCTTACTTTATCTGAATAATAGGTAGCCAGGAAGTTAAAAATTTCTGTCCAGTCAAGGGGAAGATCTAGGAATTCTCGGAATTCTGGTTGAAGGCTTGACAGCAGTCGACTACACCAGCATTGAGTTAGGTTTATAAACTCTGCAGGGTTGATGTTGGCCTGGTTCTTGGTTGATTCCAGTTGCTCCCAAAGTTTATCACGAGCGTAACACTCGATGGCCTTTCAGATATTACAATTCGAAATTTTAGAATTCTAACATGATTCATGTACTAATGACAGAAAACATTCTACTTACCCGTTCAATGGTCGAATCAATTTTTTGCTTTCCTTGATTTAATACGTTTCTTCGACCATGTACAGACATCAGGGGCTCGTCGTTACTCAATGGGAGTTGTTCGTGTCCTTCACAATCGTAGAACGAAATAATATCATAATCAAGCAAAAATCTTCCGTTATCTGAAAATTGCTTGCTGGACGACCTCAATATCAGAAGGCACTTGCATCTTTCCGGATCCTCTTGATTTGCACAAAACGCTGTCGTGAAGCACCCAATTGTCTCATCACCATGATAGATAGAACGGAAACCATATCTTTGTGGATTCATGATGATGTATGTAAATAATGAATTCTCTTCGATGTTTTCGAGTTCCTTCACGAATGTACCATGATATATTCGATGTCGGGCGTGTTTCCGAGGCTCAGGATGACTAATAATGAAATGTTTCAGAAGCTCTAATACGTCAATGGATGGAGCTGCTTCCGGCGTTCTAAGAACGTTAGTTAGATAACGCAGATGGAAATCATAGATAAATGATTTGAAGTGTAACAAATGCTTGATTTTATGACACTCTTCTCTGAGTTCAGTTAGACCATTCGATTTATCGCCACCATCAATAGCCGACCTCGTCAGTGAATATAAGCTCAAACTTGCTAAAGCTCCTTCCATACGCACTTCACATAAAATTATTCCAGCACTACAAATCTTTGCAGTAAATACTGCAGGAGCGGTAATCGACAAATCTCCGTCAATAACAATTTTGGACGTGAAAGAGGGAAGTTTGTCACCACCATCGTCATTATGGATAAGGTTGGACTCTGCATCTCCAAATATCACCATCGTCATTCCAATGCTTTCTAAATACGTTGCATAGTCCTTCAATAACGACTCGATTGTCGTGTTGAACTGTAGCGCTGTAGTTTCTTTACTTGATCCTTGTTGTTCGAGCAAATGTACTGCAGAGCCAACTCGTAACAGACAAGTAAACGTTGAATTGGAAATTGTAGGCTTGACATTCACATCATCAAGCAATTCATGTGTTTGCGCCCAATTCTCGGATATTTTTGACGCGATTGCATACGTCTGAGAGATTCTAGCTTTTCGTACACAAGAATCTAAGAATGGCCGTCCGTATTTCTGTAACAAGTCTTCCTCGTCTCGATTTGTTTCTGAAAGCTTTCTTTGTTTTCGATTGTTTTGGTTATGTGGACGTCTAAACTTATCCGTTCCGGTTTCGGATGATTTCACAGAATGTTCGACTGGAGTCTCTGTAAATGCATTCTTGAGTGTTTCGTTAACGTCAAGAACCGAGATAATGGACACGTTGGCCGCACTATCAAGATCATTCGTGACTAGCTTAGTCAATTCAGCCCGCATATCCACTGGTAATGCAAATGATTTCCTTTCTTCATCTCGAACGCGAGATGGAAACTTGTCACATATGAGCAAACTGACATTTGTTGTATCCAAAGAATTACCATAAACTGTGGTTGGACGTGGAGCCGACGCGTTGGGCGGGCCCGAAGGACGTGGAGTATTCGGAACAGTCGAAGCAGTTAGTACGGATGTCTGGGTTGATTTAACAGGGGGTAATGTGTTCTTATGATAAAACAAACCCATCTTTTGATAAAGAATGCTGTTCAACAGTCGGGTACGCTGATTATGCCAGTCCATTAACTTATTAAGTGATTTGAATATTTGGTCTTTGTAAATTTTGTTTAAGTTATACGTATATAATGTCAGAGAGAATCCGCCAACTGCCATAATGACAAAACACGATTGGTGATATTCTTGGTTCTGTTGTGACTGCCCGTCAAATGTGTTCTGAGTCGGTCTATTCATCATTAGCTCTTCTGTTGTTTGACGATGCTGAAAGACCGAATTTCTACGCGGTTGTGATCGTTCGTTACCGACACTATTTCTACGAGAGGTAGGCTTATGTTGTTTAGGAGCACCAAGTTCTTTCAAACCGCTGACTAGAATATATTTTGTAGGTTTTGTAGGCAATGTCTCCAGCTTTACATGAACCTTTCTTTTATGATCAGATTCATCTGTTTGATGATCATCTACCTGACATGTTTCGGCAGAGACTTGGCTCCATATAGTTGGGCTGAGGGCTGTATGAATATCCGTCATAAATGTGTTAATTTCTTTTAACAACTCCTCACTAATGCATGACGGTGTCTCAAAAGCAGTATCCAACACGTTAACGGCGGGATTCTGCCATTCGGCTGACTTTTTCAGGATTTCGAATACTGGTTCTACGAAAACGCGTTGAAGGTGACTGTCGATTAGAGGGAAAGGCAATCGTGAATTCGGTCTGTCGTCCACTTCATTATTTTCGGGTATTGCTAAAGCCGCCGCCTCTAAATTATCCGCAGCAGAATAACGAAGACTTTTCGAAACTGAAAGTTCAACAAAATAGTCACACAGACTTTGTCGAAAACTCCTAAATATTCGTTCCATCAATGTGTCCGAGTTTATTGGTCCCTGGCTCCACATTTCGACAAGTATCCTGTAATCACAATTCTTAGCAGCAGTGGTTAAACGTCCACTTATATCGCGTGACGAAAGCCACGGTGTAAATCGTGGTGTACTTTGTGGCGTGCTTTGTTGTGCTTGTACATATTCTATTATGGTCGACATGTCTGTATCATCGGGATCTGACCGGTCCTGTGGTGGAAGTTTGAACACTGGCTGACTCTCTTGATCCAGTAATGTTAATATCATACCAGAGATGCCCTGTCCAATTGACGTTTCGAACGAAGATGGCCGCATCGATGAATTATAATAGAATGCCATATCCCCTAGATACGGTTCAGTTAATTGAGGTAGTTTCCTATGATAAAAACTGATTAGTATTCACACAACTATTTCGACCATTACTAGCGTCAAAGTCTAACTAACTTTTCAGAATCTGCAGGTAATTTGGCCTTAATTTTGTCATGATGGTAGCGTTTTACTGCAAGGGCTGCTTCCATTCCATTCAACGTGTTTAAATAACGTAATAAGTTCTGTTGAAAGTAAAAAAGTAAGGATGCAGTATTTTTCACAAATTTTGGTATGTAAAATAGAGAACTTCTTGAAGGGCCTTTCTTGATGGGCAAGATGAATTCAACATCCTGGTAATGGAAACGAAATATCATGAGTAACTGTTGGAAATTCGAACACAAATCATTACTATACTTACCTCATATGATAACTTGTAATTTCGAGCCAAATGTGTTGAGATAACAGGAAGTGTAACATTGGTGTTCAATTTATTCTCCAAGGAACTTGTCAAGTCAACCGTTATCTTTTCCCCTGGTAAATTAAGACCATATACTTCGACAAGTAATCCAGATTTTGGTTGTACACGCCATGGATTGGGACTCTCCGCCACTGAGCGTTCAGCTCCCAGGTTTGATGTTTGCGGACTTTGAACCTTATTTGGTGGTAAATCTTCTGTTTCCTCTGCAGAAGGTTGCTGTGTTGATTGTTCGTTAGCATCTGTGCCATTAACTTGCGGCAATGCGCTTGTTTGTCGGTCCAACTCTGCAGCATTCTCGGGATCAACAACCAGAGACGGATTACTAATCTCAGACAATTTGATGTACACGATGTGATCTTTATCCGGGACCACATACATATGTTTGCGGTTGGCAACTGCAAACCAGTTAAGCGACGATGTGATGCCAGCGAGTGCTTGATTCGGTCGCAAACGCCAGTGCAGAGGAAAAGTGGTCTCGTATACTCGCGGACATTCGAATTGCCCGTATTTGAACTCTTGTTCATCGGACTTCTCAGTTCCGTCGTCTGATACTGACTTGATTTCGTCTGGAGGTACCAAGTAGTCACTGTAGGAAAAATAATCGATTAATCAGTATATTCACTGTAGTAAACAAAATAACTAATCTATGAAAGTACCTGCAAATATGTGTCTCAATCAATTCATCAAGCAGCGTCAATTGATTTACTCTCTTACAAACTTTTAATATGTATTTTTCAACTTCCTCTACAATAGTCGTTCGTTCAGAGCGTGAAATGACCTTCGAGTAGAAATATAAAGAGACAAATCCGGTTTCTGGAGCCAAAAGAAGCCAGAAAGGTTGATTCTTTTGAGATTTCGCATTGCTAGCAGTATCCGTACGGCTGGAGGAATCAGGTTCGGCCGGAGACATGACAATTCCAAGACCTAGACCACCATCGCTGTGCCCAGTGCTTTCGATGATATTCTGATTGTTATCCGAAACATTTGGTATATTCTCAGATTCATCCAGTGTAGATCTGCCAAGGCTACATTTAACTCCTTTCTCCATCTGGTCACATTTGCTAATATAGTAATACTCTTCCACTTTATTGAGTATAAAAGGCTTCATGTTAAACTTAATAAGCTCTTGCAAAAATCGCTGCTGACCTCGATCTTGGTGGACAAAGCGGAGAGGAATCTTATACGTAGTAGAAAAGCTCTCATTTTGATCTTGATCAACGACCTTCTTTTGATCGACGCTTTTCTTCTGGTCCGTTTTAATTTTATCAATGACTTCCCCTTGCTTATTTGCCTCCAATTGCTCCTGTATATATGTTAGCGTCGTTCGATCGTATGGTTGTAACTTCAATAGCTTATGCAGTATTTCGTCCCTCAACAGCCGATCAATATTGGATCGGGTCTTTTCCAAAGCTTCTTGTATTTCCTTAGGGTATGTCTCGGCAGAGTGTGATACATGAAGCGGACTGAATTACAATAAATTATAAAAACGATAGCGTCAAACGTTAGTGCTGTACGTGATGTTTACTTGAAAGATGTATCCACTTGTAACTGACCTTGAAAAATCGTTGGGTTCGTATTCGACAAACCCCAGCGAAAGCTTCTTGTGCTCATCAATAGACGGCAAAGTTAGACACGTCATATGTAAAGTGGCACTGGTCCCATCAGCTGACTCGACAGGCGAGTTAGACGTACCAATCGCATCGGGAGAAAAATCGTAATACTTTTTGTGGACTGTACATTCATAGCTTGTTGGCAAATCTGATACTGGGAAGCGAACATATGTTGCTTGATATTCATTGTACATTTCAGCGATAGAAAAAGCATTTGTCTCGTCTGTTTGAACTTCCTGTTGTGTTTCTTGTATTATAGCAAGTGTTGGCGGCGGCGGCGGCTTTTTAAATGTACATTCGAGTTTGATAAAGAGCGGTCTTTCAGCCAATGTGAACACGTCAGCAAGATTCATGCCAGTTTTCCCCCCCTTTGAAGGGGGACGATAATAATATATATTTTGAAATTCATCGTCACCAGATGCAACGAGCTCAAAATATTGACCAAAAATGTCACTAAACCTCTTACGTACGTCATGTAGGTTGCTACAAGATGAGTAACAGTCAGCACCCTATAGTTATGCCGTGTCTACAATAAAACATCAATCGCTCACCTATCATTGTCGTTTAAAGCAGCTCGGATGTGTACATTAACAAAAGCAGATATGTCTATATCTAAGGATGTCTCTACACATGTTTCGATGGCCTTGTGGAAATCTGCCGCTGCGACCTGACGCCTCTGTAATATGCTACCATAAATGGATTTGACAAATCCATGAGCATAAACATTTGCGATACAAGACATAATTCGCGTCTGATCGGACATACGGACAATATCCTTATCATCAAGAAATCCTCCACTCAATATTGTTGGGCTCAATGCTGTTCTTGCGGATCCGTGAAGAGACGTAGGTTCAAGTATTAAGTCTTTCAGTTGACTTGGTAAACCTGAAGGCACGCCTCCGTCTAATGGTGTCAGTCTTTTACATGAAAACAACAGGATACTCAAGTGTCTTGCTTCATTTTCATTTACGGGTCGAGGTGTTTTGCTGACAGCGTTAAGAATGGCCTCAACGGAAGGTATAATTATGACAGCCATTACAGCCATTGAGCTATTATTAACTTTCTTGACAAAGCATCGTGTCTCTTGCAAGTTGTGAACTAACTGTATGGTTGCAGTGCCATTTAGTTGACCTTGGGCCCTTGATATTCTATCATTAAGTTCATTCAAAAGAGAATCTTGTTGACTATTCTGAGTAGTGTCAATCATGCCATCAGTATGATCGAGTAACGTTTTCTCCACGAACCAGTGCAGTAATAACAAATTACTATCAGCATCCTGGATGCTACCGCTACTAATCGCTTCTGATATCAGATCAGCAATCTGTTCATTTTCCGCTGATGGTGTCCGTCGTCTAGTTCTAGGATTTGGCGCGTCATCTCGATTGCCTGGAAAATTAGGCGTATCTTTACCACGAGATTTTAGATTCAGTTGTGGCGTTTGTTTAAATCCAGCTAGGGATAATTTCGGTGTTGCTTCATTGCTTCTAGGTAAGACTTCCATCCGGGGCGACGGACTCAATGATGTCGATTTTGAACACGGAATGTAATAATTAGCGACTAGAATAGGACTAGAACGAAGCAATAACGAGAGGTTGAATAAATTCGATAATCGAGATTGTGTACGATCTGTTACGTCTTGTTTGCGATGAGACGCGCCTACTTGATATAGTTGATCAAATGTTACCAGGTGAGACATCACTCTCCTGTCACTTGCCTCGATTGCATCTGCTATCGGCTCAAAGCGATCTTTCAAATACTTGTCTTCCGATGGTTCCATTAATAGCTTAGTGTGTATACGGCCTTTCTGTGTGTCAGTTACAACAATATACTGTACACCACAGACAGTGGAAGTTCTGATTTCATCTTCTTTCGATTCAGCACCAAAGTCGATTTCACGGTAGAATATTTGTAGACTGCCCTGATGGTATACTAACATGTATTTTTCATCCAAACGTGCTTTAAATAAGTATTGTAACGCCAAATCCTGCAATGGAACTGTTCGTATGCTTATACGCGATACGTCGTCTTCCACGTCGTCCAGCCAAGACCATTGCCTACACTGTAGGTACGATTGAACTATAGAACGATAACCAGCTGGAATTATCTCAACGGCGGAATTTTGATCATCCGGCATAGTGTCATCCATGTCTGGGATCATTATAAATGAAAGGGGTCTTCTACAAATGTAATAAGTCTCATCTTCACGCCCATAACTATCATCGTCTATTATTTTCCTGAATTTATCGGCTTCTTCTTGATGGGCATTCACATCAGCGTTGAAGAATGAAAACGCATCATTTATCTTTTTCCCGACTTTATCAGCCCACAATTCATGATCATCCTTATTGTCCGTCACAACATTGAAAAATGATAAGGTATCAGCTATCATATTTCTGACTTTATCAGCTTCTCTTTGGCGAGTATTCATATTGACATTGAAGAATGACAAAGTGAATAGAATTAAACTTCCATACACTGGCTTCAAGTTCAGTTTACAGAAACTAAAAGGGCATGCTTTGTCACCCTCATGCGGAGAAAACAACTTGATATACTCATCTTTTGATATCTCAAAAGATGCCCATAAGCCAAGTAACAGCCTGAGCCTAGATAGGGCAGCGTGTATAGGCGCAGCAATCAGCGAAGATTTACTGAATATCTTGCGAGACGGAGAAGCTATTAATTGAAACGCAATCTGATCGTACCAACATTTACCATCCAGGCGAAAAGGGCTTTGCTCCAACACACACCAAAATTGTTTAATCTTTTCTACACGATCAATTGCAAAACCCCGATTACGCTGCATGATATCTTTTTGTGCCCTGTAGAATAGTTGTTCGTTCAATAATTCATCTGTTTCATATATGGTGGCGAGAAACTTATCCAGCCTAATGACCTTGGAAAACGAGGGATGCCTGGGATCATTGTCTACTCCTGTTTGTACTCTGATAAAGTACATTGAGAATCTGATGTCTGCGATGACGTTAATCTCGATGCGAGGCACTCTCAGTCGTATCATTCCTCTGTTCTCACCAGACCATAACGCCTTAATCTTATATTGAATCATAATATTAGGAAGCCATAAGCGCAAGAGACTAATATGGATCATATTTCTCACTATTTCTACACTCTCCACCATAAAGCCCTGTCTGATACGGAAGGAAATTAATTGTTGCACATTAATGTGCAGAGTATATTCCCTATATCTAGTTAGAATTGTCTCAACTGGCGGTGACAAACTACGTGGATCCCATGGGAAATTATAGTCATTAACGTCTAAGACATTATGGTTGCCATAAACACGTCGTTCACGAGGAGCGTCTATTGATCTTTCGGGCTTGTCGGATAGGCTTGCGTATCGGTATTCAATCTTCTTCTTGGAAAAACTAGTTTCTCTCAATAAACAAAATGAATGGTAGAAATTGGACGCGATGCCATCTTTGAGTGATTCTGAAGATATATCGTTCGGACAATCACATGCGTATGAAAATGTACCACCAGTAGCAGCGGCGACAAAGCGTAATAATTCATTATCAGGGACCAGTCCAAAACTGCACGTAGGATTAAATCCTTGACCAGATCCTACTTGTATAATGTTACAACTAATATCCTCTCTGCAGAGTTCTTGTATTATATCGTCGTCGTCTGACATCTGAACTAAAGTAGATTTGACGACGCCATCCGTAATGATTACCAAAGATGCGAATCCATCATTAGGGCATAGACGGGCGGCGAACAGACCAGCATTCAGACTGTAGGCTAGATTACCACCACCAGATCCCAATCTCCAAATATTCTTCACATCGGAAAATTCAGTTTCTTCTTCGTTTTCCGTGTCCATTCTATATGGAACACGAAATTGCTTTACGCGCTTAACTTTTTCTCTCAATTCAGCAACGCGCTGTTGATAGTCGTTCAATTCACATTGGAGTTTGACAAGAATTTTTGATACATTGGTTTTCGTGACTGTTACATTTTGTAAGAGCACTTTCATGGTAGGGAACTCTTCCAGGTAGAGAAACACGTTTGCATTCGATGCAAAGTGCGAGCTCTCGGCAATCACTGTGATTGAAATTTCTGGTTCAAACTATCGAAGCACATGATAAAGTAAGTCACGTAGAATGTATGGTTACTGCACACGTCGCAACTATGTACGCACCTGAAGTGCTTCGTCTCTATCCAGGTCCTTTAGGATAGACGGCTGAACTAGACCGTAAATAGATTTCTTCAGACTAATCAACGATACCCCAATTCTTTTTATCAGATTGATTCGGCATGTAAATTCCAACGTCTTATTTATGATATTGTACATACCTCTCAAATACTTCTGATATAATCACTTCACCAGTATAACAATCTACTGTTGCTAGAGAGCACGTAACGTCGACGACAAAGACAACCTTGTATTTATTGCACAACGTTATAATACGTGTACTTGGCATTAATTTATATACTCGGTCATAAAAGCTGTCTGGATTCGGTAGATTATCAAGGGTATAAATGTTCGTTGTTTTTTGCTGTACAGTCTGCGTTTGCATTAGGGAGGATAGTCGCGTAGCTGAGACGTGTAGTATACGAACATTCTAGAAGTAATGCAAGTCAGAAATAGGGAAGAACAAAGACAAAAGACTGGAAGAATCGCATAACCGAAAAAAAAGAAAAGACGAAGCGATTCTTACATCGTGTATTAATGGTCTGAGAGGTCGATAGAGGCGCCTAAGTAACCATTTCTGTAACTCTACTCGTTTAACTTTAGTCGAATCGGTGACGAGTAATAGTAGTACTTTGGCCTCAACGGCACCGTGTAGTATAAATTCACTCATTATGGTCGAAGGCTACAACGATAAATATGATAAATATTTACAAAGAATAGCGATATCCATAATGAAAATTCTCGGGCGCATTATGAGATATAGTTTGGAAATGGATGAAATTTCTCCAATCCCATGACATTTGATCAGCCACATCAGAACCCTAAATGGGCATCGATTTAACCATAATTGTCGGTGTCTATTACTATCAGTTATAGGAGTAACCAGATATGGGTTACCGTAACAAACAAAAGGTCCTCACAAAGCATTTATTGAAAGTGATTTCACGGCCTTAAATGACGATGTTTAACTTTCTAAGCTTTAGTATAACAAAACAGCTCACGAGAGATCAGTTCGAATTTACAAAGAGACATTAATGGGGTCACTTTTGTTGGCATAACTCCAAGACGAGCGTAAGAATCGATTTGGGTAAAATTTAAAGGTTCATAATTTCTGTTGCCGAAATCATGTTTTGACACTATGAATTCCGTTACTATTGTCTTTCTTCCTCTGGTGTTTGTCTTCTTTTTGAGTTCATTAATTGAGGACAACCGTAGAAACGAGTAATTAACTAAACAAGCGCATTTGATTCTTTGTGAAAAATGAAATGCGTGTAATTATTTCATTCGTCGTTTTGACTTACGTGGTAGTATTAAAGTCATCTGACGAGGAAATGCGTAATCTTTGTAGCACAGATGATTGTTACTCTGTAAGGAAGATTTTTCGCAGAGTATTAAGTATGTGCGTTAATAGTATTGTTATATTACTCTGACATGTATATGAACAAATACTGCGGGAGAGCGATTGATGGTTGACTATAAGAATTTAGCTAATCACGCACTTTTACTTTTGGGTAAATATGGTGGACAGTTAGTGGACTTTAAACCGGGCATTCCCACTTACGGCCTCCGTCTTGATGCGTGGACACCGTTTATATATAGCTTAAATGAGTCATTTATGCTGAAATCTTACAGTTTTTATGTGAGCCGTTTTATAGTACTGTATATCGTATTCAACGAAAGTAATTCGGTTTCCACAATTGTTTCTTTAAGATTTTGGTGAAAGAAGGTTGTTTTAACACATCAATTACTATCGACCGTGAATGAATATTTGATGATGGGATTCGAGCTGCTTATATATCTTTTACCGTGACGGAGAATTTATCGCAAAAATTAAATAAATAATCATATAATTTTCAAGAACGAATATATTCCAAGTTAATATAGCGCTTGCGCTGCGACTGAAAGTTGTCACGGAATAACGATAATCTGACGAAAGATGTATAATTATCCTAAAGTTAATGTTGATTTCGTTCGATTGCGGAGGAAGATTTTATCGCTTATCTGCAGATCGGCTTGCTGTAACAATAAATACTAAATTGTACGTTTATTATACAATATCTTCATTTCTATCAGTATTGCTTTATCTTTGCGAGCGACGATTTGATCACATGATTGCTGCGGTACCGAAGTAATTTATTTTCTTATCTTTTATTGGACATTAATTAGAAATTAGTTCCAAAAGCTTAAATACCTTCTGTCCCCGATACTGTCTCAGCATCGTATTCATGTTCTGAAGCTGAGCTTCAATGACTTGAAAAATAACTAATAAACTATTTCTTCTGATAAACGATAATTATAATCCAACTGACTTATTGACATTGCATATGTCCCTGAATCGACGATCTACCTTAATATTTGGCATAACGAAACCTCGTTAGACTTTCGTCTTGAAACTTGGTTAGCTTATTGCAAGCGATTCAACATTAAACCCGATCAGTTCGATCTAGAGGATAATAAATGCAATTCTACGCTTAAGTCTCCTGAAATGACTCGTGAAGAAGGAGCTTAACGTAGTATATGGAAGCAGGTTTTACTGTAAGACTTCCGTTACGATAATTACGATCGTTGTTAATGATGTTGTGTTAATATTATTCTTTATATCGATACAAGGCGAGTCTTTCCGTCGGCTCGTAGCGTAGTGGTTTCACTATGCGTTTTCCTTCGTAGCGAATATTTAATACTGTAACTTTCTTAACCAACATACGGCTATGTTCCGATGATGTTATGTGAATGAGAGATACTACTATCTCTGATATTGTATAGACGTTGTGAACGTCATGAAAGTATAATTATAATGGTTGGATAATTGATAACTAATTGTTCGTAGTTCGAACGGAGATATTCACTTAACACATCGAAGAAGTAATCTCATAACTACATGACAATGTCATCGTTACGTTCAACTGAGTATGGATAATACTCCACCTAGGTAGTAACTCGTATTGCGTAGCAGGAAATACTCATTAGAGTATTAGCGACAATGTTTATAATCGGTTTGCTGTCTGGTTCCCTGAAACGGAGTTTAACTCCGATGGTAATTAGTAATATTAATTACAAATTGAGTCATTGTTTAGCCCATGACATGTTATGTTACTTTGAGTTACTTAACTATTACGCTGTAATAACATTATCGCTCGATGCCAAAGCGAAGAGTATTATAATATTGCAAAATAGAGTCACGCTTCTCTATGTTAGGATGTACATTTTGTATTATGTTTGTACATTTTTTATTCAAGTATACAACCAAGTTCCTGGTCGAACGGTTAACATTAGTCATAACTTTAGCAAAAAATTAATCAGCGTTCAATTACAAAAAAGGGCTTCGATTTATCGATTGGTTGTTATCAATTACCATTGAGCTTGTGGTTCTACGGTTGAAACAAAAGATGAGCATTAATTTATAATTAAAAATTAAAAAGTAGTAGTAGATATAAGTTATTTGTACGAAATATTTTTGCCAAAGATTAGTCTCTTGTTTTGTAATAAGACATTCTGCTTTCTTTTAATATTTAATTGATGCTGAAACTATGACTTTTCATTGGTTGATAAAATTTATTCTTTGATCCCATTGGTTAGTTTCAGCATCGGCCACATTATTATTGGTTAACTTTTCTGTGCTTAGTTAAAAAAACCAATGCCGCCAATAAGAAAAGCCAAGTCTGTTTAATAACTCCATAAATTATCTACTCGATTTTGCTTAAAGGTTTCCACAATTATTGTGCTGCGTAAATGACGAAATATGCGCTTAATATTCGTACCATTGAGCGGAAGTCATATCATCTTTAGCTTCAATTAATTCTGACATTAATTAAACTGCAGCTTATAATCACCTACTTCTACCAATGAGATAACCTAGTGAAATTACTTACTCAAGCAAAACGCATTTAGCAGCTTATCTGCGAGTTCCATGATCGATAGACCTGACCGATTACGCAGAAAATTGCGGTTTTACGCCAAAATCAGTGCAATTATAACCAGAAATAATACAAATCTTTGCTTTGTAATAATACAAAACAAGGACTCAAGTTTTGGAGGTTGAAATTTGATGAAGATGCTGTTTGTCTATCGCTCATTGAAAATCGGTTTGTAATTGAAAGCCACGATAATTTGTTCTTTCGATCGGAGCCGTGGCTTCTCCTATTTCTCGACTCTTATTGACTTTTAAGCAAACTTTTACTGCTCACGACTGTCGAACTAATTCTTGATTACCGTGTTGGCCTGAGTTATCGTCTGTTTTTTTGTTTTGTTTTTTTTTTTTTCGAAAATTATAGGTTAAAAACGCACGTTCTTACGTAGACAAATAAGTAAGTCGCAAGTGCTACCAGGATATTCGACGGACACCATAAAAACATTAATATCGATACAATAATTAGTGATCTGAAGTAATTACCGGGAAATAGGTTTCAATGAACAGAATATAGCAACTACTCGTTTATTAGAAAGAGTCGATGAAATTAGCGTGTGTAAAAATTGGAAGTGTAAGACTGGTTTGGTCTGAAAATGAGCCTGAATGGATTGATTGCACAAAATTCAGTGAGCAAGGATTAGGAGTGATCGCTAATTATTTCCGCTGCACACTGCAGCGCATCCATGGAAAGTTATTTCAATAGTTTGCGAACATACGTCGTTTACAGAAATAATACGCAAGCAAACTTGATAAGTCGATCTCACGCGATACGTGTTACGAGCAATATACATTCTCGACAGTCATCTGACACTCTTTATGTCGTACTAATAATGAGATAATTATAGAATTGTTTTCCAATTGTGAACATTGTAATTTACATCTGTCTAATTATATAATTGAAAATATGTCGTTGCTGTTTAACGTACAAAGTGTTTCTGTATAAATAAAATTGAGAATTTTTTAGCCGTGCTGACTTCGGTAAATCAGTTCTCTTGTTAAGCCAACTTGCCATCCCCAACCATTCATTACCGACTCATCACATTTTCTTACGTGTAATACGGAAGTTGCAATTCGCCTTCCACATCTGGAAGGTAAATTCCAACTGCCACATAGAATGTTCGCAAATTCCCAACAATAGATATGCTTTCCGCATTTAGAAAGTGAATTCCAACCACCGCTGCAGCCAAATATTACTTTCCGCATTTGGAAGGTGGATTCCAACTCTGGTGAAACATTGAAATAAATATAAGGAAGCGCTGGACGGCCGTCAAAAGACATCATCCATTGTGTGGATATGTTTATTCATACAATTACTCCAATGCCGCGTAAGTACATTTGCTTCTGAAAATCTAATTATAATTGCTAATTGAGGCATTACCCTACTAATGAAGGAACATCATTTTTTAGTGTGAACATTATTTTAGATTAGACGAAGTTTAGTAAGCGCGACGTGGAGAGAGTAACCTGATATTAACAAATTTCAAAAGTAACGAGTAGGAAATTTTGTAAGTAGGTTTAATAATAAGCCTGGTTTTGATTTAAAACGATCAGCGAACGCAAGCCAACGAGCGGATTGGCGAAAGCTAAATGTCAAGGCTGTAAAATAATCGCTCGCCCATATATAGAAGCAGTCAACAGCTATAAATTCGACGATCGGTCAATGAAGGCTCATTTAACCTATTACTATGACATACACGCCAATTTACCCGAATCAGATCTATTATACCTCTGCTCCCCATCATGGAACCGACAGAAGAACTTATTTCTATATTTTGCGCGAATCAGACCCAATATCTCTGCCCTCCCACCTTGACCGAAGCAAATACAGACATGGCTACACTCTGTGCGAATCAGACGGAATGCCTCTGCTCTCCCACCTTGACCGAAGCAAATACAGGCATGGCTACACGTTGTGCGGATCAGACCCAATACCTCTGCTCTCCCACCTTGACCGAAGCAAATACAGACATGGCTACAATTTGTGCGAATCAGACCGAATACCTCTGCTCTCCCACCTTGACCGAAGCAAATACAGACATGGCTACAATTTGTGCGAATCAGACCGAATACCTC